GTTCTGTAACCGTGTGTTGTGTAATTATTACGTTAACTATTCTTAACTTATCACCATTGTTTATTATGTATGAGATTTTTTTATAGGATAAGGGTGACAAACGAGCACACAGTCCACCTGATGGTAAGTGGTTGCTGTGGCACATAGACATCCACATCTATCCTCGATTACGAATCAAAGTGCAGATGCGTTGTCACCCCTGAGGACTAAGATGGAATGCCTCTTTTCCAGTAAAACGGGTCTCCGGTTCTCTCACTCACCATACGAAACACAGCAGTGTTTAGCTGCCATTTTACGCTGGTATTCTGTGACAGCGTGCTCCTACCCCGGTCGCTCCTAACCCGGCCCATTCATGTTACAACTATACTACTAATATAGCTGCAAGATGGCTCTACCAAGTAAAGAAGAGATGGTCTACTAGGCCTCCTGCCTTGTCTAGGAGTAGTAAAAATTGAAAATTTTTTGTCAGCGCGACTGCTGATCATATGGTTTTAGGTTCGAATCCGTAATCAGTTATTGGGTTTTTAGCTTAGAAATCCACGGTCTCGGAGTCAGGAAATTGGCGGTGTTTCACTTTCATCCCGATCTCGTTTCGGTCGAGTCTAGTTTGTCCGTCCATCACATTGGACTTAAAGAGTAGGTAAATAAAAAGTGCACCTGTAATTCTGTCCTACGTAGATGGCTAATCTCTATTGACTCAAGCCGCCGTGAACAAAATTCAGTCTGGATGACATTATTATTACTCTATTGCACTGAATATAGCTTTTGCATCTGTCGCAAGCATTCGCACCGCTTGTCAAACTTCATCTTAAAATTTTCGAACTAATGTCATGGTTACAGAGATTTACACTTGAATTTAAAACAGGAAATAGATTATTGGAAATTATAATTCTGCAATGACCCCAGTCGAGGTGAAGTTAGGTGTATGCACGTTGATGATAGATTATTGCGAGACGATGTTCTCGAAATGAGCATGAGAACAGATGAATGAGAATGATAAGAGAAAAACTGACTTGGCCAACACAAGTCAGTTTTTTTAAAGGATGCAAAACGAAAAAAGTCGTATACTTGTTAAACGTTAACCAAAGATAAAAAATACAGATGCCTTGCCGCACCTAAGAACAAAGATGGAATTCCTCATTATTAGTAAAAAGACGAAACATCGTAGTATTATGGTGTAATTTTATGCTGATATTCTTTCGGTGTGAGAATGGTCTTTCTAAGTCTTACCGACTATACGACACAAAAAGAATAAGAAAGATTATAATCATTCGGGATGCAGTTTAAAAATAATGTAACGAATGAGTAAGACTGGAAACATAACAAATGAGGTAGTTACAATTATTATTTAAAGACAGTAAAACACATTAAAATAATTAAAAATTTGTTTGGCCCCGACAAGTTAATAAAATTGATTAAAAAGAAACTTATACGTGGTAGAGTTATGCTGCAACTATACTACCAGTGCAGTTGTAGAACGAATGGATCGGCTCGACCAGGAGGAACCACGCTGTCACAAATACCAACGTAAAATAGCAGCATAACGCTGCTGTTTTATATGGTGAGTGTAGAGAACCGCAGACCCTTTTGCTGGAAACTAGGCATTAAATCTTACACCTCACGGAGGAATATATAAAAATATAAATATCTTGTTACACAAGGAAAAGTAAGGCTAAAATTTATTCCAAAACGAGATTAAACCTACGATGACATCTATTATGATTCGCGAGGCTATTGAAATCAAAAAACATCCTAATTTCAACAGAGACGATGGCTGGGTGCTACCATCTGCTTGGGATCCTATAATTAATAAAATTAAAACCCAACCCAAGCATACAACTGCAAGACTTCAAGATACTGTAAGTTCGTACTGCATAGATCGGAACAAAAATTAATAATTTTTTATCTATGATAACCGCGGTTAACTATGACATCTAGACGTTGAACATCTCAGTCTCCCCCGATGGATGCTGTAAAGTGCTCGAAACGTCGGGTATTCAAAAAGTTAAATATACGCGATAAAATCCGCAAAAACTAGTATTATTTAAATGTGTAGTGTTCGCGTAAATATAAGAAATCATTTTGTTTAGAATCGGAATGACAAACGAATACATAATCCACCTGATGTTAAGTAGATGCTGGGGTCTATAGAGACCTATCTGTCCTTGATTAAGAATTTAAATGCAGATGTGTTACCCACCCCTACATGCTAAGATGGAATGCCTCGTTTCGACGCTGGTATTCTGTGAGAGCGTGATCGTTCCCCGGTCGAGCCCACCCACTCGTGCTACAACCATAATATAGCTCCATTATAGCTCGTAAATAATATGATAATGTAAGATAATGATGGCAAAAATAAAAAAAACATAACAAATGGTCAGCGTTTGAACCAATCCAATCTCTTTGCAATAGGAAATTGTAGCGCAAGACGAGATATTGATGCAATTGCAGTGTCTATTTCTGAATCAGCCGGCGAATCGACGCGGTCAAGGTCGCCCCCACATTGTGTGCACGTGGCGCCTTCCGATTCCAATGTAATGCCGCGTGCATGTTGTCATGCAATGCTAATTTGCAATCGCTGCGTTCACTGGCACACTTTTTACTTTAGTTCTCAATTTTAGAAGGAGGTCTTCTATAATAAGGATATGAAGGAAGAGATTAAGGTGAGACCTTCTCGCAGTATATTGCAATTAGATTCCCGTCGCCGGTGTTTTATTGTTTGTTTTATCTCTTTGTTCTTTATTTCTCGTACCGGTAAGCGACGTGTAAGGCGGCCCTCTACTAAATGGAGTGACGACCTGGTAAGATATGCAGGAAGTCGATGGATGCAGTGCTGTGTGGCATTCCTCGAGGAAGGTCTATGTGAACTTGAAATGGGAAGTAAAGATGGTAGTGAAGATTGTGGTCGTGACTTTTTGGCATTTTCTATACGCAAAAACAAGAGCATTCTAAGCTGAAGTTAAAATAACGCAGCACAAAGAGGAAACTTTTTTTTACTTTGCACAATAACTAATGCCAGACAATAGAATAAAAAAGTAGTTCCCTGTAGGTTTCAAACCAGTGACTCGCAACACAGCATCCAAACTTCTAGTCACTACGCTACCGCACCGTCGAATCTTTATAACCCCGAATATATAAATTTGACTAATTTTCTTAAAACATAATTTTTTTCTATTTATAAGAAAAAATTGTTGTTCTCGACCACAGATCCAATTGTGATTGTAAATGATCCAGGGGCACTCATTTTAGATGCTACCATATCTTATATATAGCTATATATATAAAAAAAACCCTCCTGACCGAATTCCGGCCACTGAGGCCTGCCTCAACGGAGGCTAGCCATCGCCGCAGGACAGGATTATAGTGCCCAAGTGTATGCCCAAGCACAGGAGCACTCTCTATTCCCTTACTCTCATAATCCGATGGGACGGTAAACCGACACGACCGGGAGAGAGATCAGGCGCAGGACCAACCGCTTTACGTGCTTTCCGAGGCACGGGGGTGAGACACCGCCAACTTCCTGACTCCGGGCAGCTACAGAGAAATTCTTGACAAAAAAACTCAATAATTGATTTTTGGCCCTACCCGGGATTCGAACCCAGGACCTCATGATCAGCAGTCGCACTACTACAACCACTAGACCAACGAGGCAGTCATATAGAAACTCATGTAAGTACCACGGCTGGACACAGGTTTCATCCCGATAGAGCAGTTAGTTGTTGACGAACTTCACATGTTCTCGAAATATTGTGCTTCTCAGTGCACTCTCTATTCCCTTACTCTCATAATCCGATGGGACGGTAAACCGACACAAGTGGAGAGAGATCAGGCGCAGGACCAACGGCTTTACGTGCATTCCGAGGCACGGGGGTGAGACATCGCCAACTTCCAGACTCCGTGCAGCTACTGAGAATTTCTTAATGGAAAACTCAATAACTGATATTTTTTGGCTCGACCCGAGATTCGAATCCGGGACCTCATGATCAGCAGTCGCACTACTACAACCACTAGACCAACAAGGCAGTCATAATATAAGTATATAAAGATATGGTAGCCTTCAAAACATCATTCTGAAAGTAATGCAACTTTGTTCAACGGAAAATAACTAAAGAGCGAATACGGATTGCAGAAATATCAATCCGGTTTCGGGACAAAGAGTCTATCCAGAGTTTTACGATTTTCTCGTTTAGAATAGTATCTGATGCTAAGCGAGTATCAAATGATTGAATATAACTATTTATATATTTCATCGCGTTTAATTATCCTTTTTTAGTTTCCATGGTCACGGGGTAGAAGGTAGTGAGCTAACTATGACATTGGGACCTCGAACATATTGGGTAAGTCCGGGGGAGTTAACCATAGTTTTTAAAGAAGTCACTAAAATAAAAAATACAAGAATTAACAAAAATCAACTTTTTATTAAACTTTCGACATTAAACTCTAAGAAAATCAAAATATTTTTTTAACATAATCAGTCTCATAATTTACTTTTTTTTCAAATCACGATTGGCCATCTCTCCCGTAGTGCCCGGTAGAGATGGCCATAGAAGCAAGGGAGAGATGGCCAGTTTGTTAATCTACATTTTAATCACTTTTCCCTTTAATTTTTTGAGCCTTAGCTCATTCTTCTTTTTCTGTCCACATGATGAACACTTATCATCGAATTCGGTGCAATTTTCATGTTGGCATACCCACAGTTGGCATATAACACATTGAATCCAATCTTCTATGAGTTGCGTTTCGTAATAATTTTCTACACAACCTACACAGTTATCCAATTCTCTGTTTCCATCTTCTTCATCAGACGAATTACATAATATTAGTTCTTCATCCTCATCACTACTTTCAGATAACATTCTTAATGATTTTCTCTTTCTTGGTGCTCGTTATCTCAATTTTCTTTCCCTTTTAACGTCTTTTTCTTGTTCCCTATTTTTTTTAAGCGCTTCCTTAAATTTTCTTGTTTTGATGTGATTCTCTGAGGTAAGCATGCCTACCTGTTAAGCACGTTTGCGTACTTCAATAATTTTTTGTGGAAATGGCGACATTTGCTTTAAAATACGTGTTGGAGTGAGATCTGGCAAATCGCTTCTTGGAGAGAATTGTTCTGACATTTTATTAATTACTGCTGCTGAAGCAGTAGCAAATAATTTTTTAGGCCTTCTTGTAATCATCTCAGGACTTGCGTTTAAAACTATTCGCTCAACAGAGCTATTTGGCTCAGCGATTGCAGGTGATATGTCTTGTCGCACTTCGAAAGTATTTGGAACTGGTTCCAGATTAGCAGAAGCTATGTTACTATTATTTTCTTCTTGCTCCGCGACCATGACAGTGGCTGTACACTCATTTTGAGATTTAGATATTTACTTTGTCAATTCTTGGGTAAACGCGTAGTCGGGAATTGCAGATGGATTGAAGGGGCGAACACCTATAGCTTTAAAACCCGCAATTGCATTATCTGCAGAAGCTGCCATTCCCCACGCCTTATTAAGCAATCTTCCAAATGATAATCATGTTATATGACGACCAGGATTTTGTTTTAGCCAAAGTCGACACTGCTCGTAAAAATGAGTCTTCAGTGATTTAAACACCGTACGATCTAGTGCTTGGAGGTAGTGAGACGTGTGGCTTGGCATTGAAAGTAAGGTGATGTCATTGTCCTTTGCATATTCCAGCATTTCCACAGAATTACAGTGAGTTGAATGACCATCTAGTAAAAGAAGTACTCTTCCAGCTGGTTTCCTCGGAACAAAATGTGTTTTCAACCATTCAATAAATAAATCTGAGGTAATGTACGCTGATTTTGGGGACATGAAAAGTTTCGACCCCGGTGGCATCCCATCCTCAAACGGTTTTTTGTTTTTGCCTTTCATGATACAGGCAGGTGGTAAAAATGTACCTTCAGCATTGCAGCAGGCTATAACTGTAATCGTTTCTCCCTTTTCAGTCGAAGTAACTGTAGATACAGCCTTAGAACCCTTTTCAGCTAGAACATGCCCTGGTCGATTATTAAGCTGATGGCCAGTCTCGTTCATGTTGAAGATACAACTCGATTTCAACACACCATCGTCTACTGTCAATATGCTTTCAAGAAGCTCAAAGTAAGCGTCAACCTCCAGTTTATTCATAGCAGTTGATCTAGCTAAAGATACTCCTTCTGACTGTCTTAATATAATATCGTGGTTTCTTCGTAAAAAACCTTGCAACCAGTCACATCCTGCTTTCTCAGTTTCTCTATTAAATCTGTGATTCAAATTCAATTGCTCCGCGAACTGGTACGCAATCTTTCTGACGTCATCAATAGTCAGTGGGAAACCATTTTTTTGCATAGTTTTAATATGGTTAGCGAGTTTTTTCTCATTTTTTTCGCTGAATATAGAGGATGGTCCCATTGGTCCTTTTTTGTCATTATTTTTCCTATATCGCCTTTCGAGGGTCTTCCTTGGTACTTGATAGGTTATTGAAGCTGCGTAGATAGTCATTTCACCTTTTTTAACAGAGTTCATGGCCGCCTTAAGTGACTCTTCACTCCAGTTCCCTCGTGAGCTGCATGCTTTTCTTTGGTATTTATTTGGCATCTAAAAATAAAATATTGTGATATGAAATACTAAAACCAAATAAGTATAACAGCACCATAAATAAAGAAAAATATATCAAGTTATGATAATATAACGTTCACCATTACGCATTACATATATGGTAGTTGTGAGATGGCCTTATGGTCATCTCATACCAATTATGTATGGCCATCTCTCCTAATCAGCCGGGATAGATCGCCACACATTATTTGTAGAAAAATATAAACAACCCACGCGCCATTTTGAGGTTATGTTAAAGTGTCATTAACTGAGCACTTAACTTAAAAAAAAACACTTACTTTTTATGATGTCTTTTCACCACACTGTATAACGCAAACCCTTTGAAAACTTAAGGCTATATACAAATAAATGTATGTACATTTTACTTACTGCTTCGATTTTTTTCACCGGAGATGGAGCGAAATGTCGTTCCCACGCACAGCACAAATTGAACTAACTAGAAAGTAGTGCCAGTAAGTGTAACTATTTTTTTTAGTGGCCATCTCTTCCTTACGGCCAACTCCCCCGGACTTACCCTTAGTCAACCCCCCCCCCCCGTGACCATAGGTGCAGTAAAGCCGTAAAGTACCCGAAATGTCAGGATTTTAAAAAAAAATAATGAAACGTGATAAAATCCGTATAAATAGTTTTATTCAAAGAGTAGTGTTCGCGTAAATATAAAAAATCATTATGAGTATGGAATGATTTACAGTCGAGGCTACACGTGCTGCTTTTGAACTAGCTGTTACTTACGTTCTTCGCAGCATTAGATTTAAATCTCGTATTACGAAGGTGTAAAGAACGTTCGTAGACTTTACAATATGGAAATATAAATTGTTATACCTATATTTATCTAGCCATGTTCTTTCAAATGTCAAATGACGGCTTTCTATTTAAAAAGTACACGAACAATTCCAGTTCAATTACCGATGAAGGCTATAACAATTGCCATGTAAAGAGCCGACTTAGCACGTGTTTTTTCATATAAAAATGAAGTCACAAGCAAACATGCAAGCCACCTGATGGTTAACAGCAAAAACAAAAACAACATCAAAGTAAAGAAGGCTAATGATGGGTTTTCACCTGCAAGAACTAAGAATGTAATTCACAGCATTGCACGCACTGCTATTTGGTGACAGAAATAGGTATGAGGATGATATATATCCAGACGGTCCCAATATCTTATAGTAAAAGTAAAAGTTAAAAGTTACAGCCTATATACATATATGTGCCACTGCTGGGCACAGGCCTCCGCTCATTTCTGAGAGGGTTTTCGGGCAAGGAAGTGTCCGCCGCGCTGCCCCAATGCGTGTGGGTGAACTTCACATGTCTTCGAAATAATTTTTTTTCTTATTCCTCAGACACGCAGGTTTCCTCTCGATGTTTTCCTTCACCGCCGAGCATGTGGTAAATCAGCACCTAAAATTGCAATTAACAATTTCATTGGTGCCGGCGGGGATTGAATTCGGGTTTATTCGCGTTCTGTTATATTTACAGCGAGCGTTATCCATCTAAGCTACCACGGCTCTTACATTTTATAGTGTCCGGTAATAAAGAACATTATCATAGTTAAATCTACATGAGTACCTACGAGATTCAAAATTCAATACGTGGTAGAGCCACGCTGCAGCTATATTATGGTTGTAGTACGAACGGATTGGCTCGATCGGGGAAAGACTACGCTCTCACAGAACACCAGCGGAAAATAGCAGCTAAATGCTGCTGTGTTTCGTATGGTGGCTGTAGAGAACCGAAGAACCTTTTTTACTTGAAACGAGGCATTCCATCTTAGTCCTCACTGGTGACAACGCGTCTGCATTTTGATTTGTAATCGAGGATAGATGTAGATGTCTATAGGCCGCAGCAACCACTTACCATCAGGTGGACTGTGTGCTCGTTTGTCACCCTTATCCTATAAAAAAAGATCATCGGTGAAATTAGAGCGACCACGTTTGAACTCATCAGACAACACCAGTTGTAAACAGTGGCACGAGATGGGGCTTCATCGTAAAAGGCCAATCGCGAAGTCTATCATAACTTTCTTCTTGACTTAAATGACATCAAAAGTCATAAAAATCATTGTACGAAAATTTTCTCGCGTTAAATTCATGCTGACGTGATACAGGCTATTTTCAATTTGCCGCCAAATCGTAAACAAATGACAAATTAATAAAATACATCACATACACAATAATATTGGAAAGAGTTCCATTTTCAAAATTTGAACTTATTTTTTTATTATATTGTTTACAAGTGGCCAGTTCTAAAAACTTTCAGTGTTGCCCTCGTAATATAATCCATAGGCTAGGCCAGTGATGCACAGACTTATTAAGACCAGGGGCCACTCGGGCAAATTATGAACTGATGGCGGGCCGCCAGAAGTATAGGTAATTAAAGACAATAAAGAATTGATAATAATGTATTAAAATTGAAAAAAGAATTTATTAATTTGAAGCGTAGCACTGCATAGTGCTTACAATCTTTTTTATATTTGGCTCAAATTTACTTGTAGCAACACGTAAAACTGCTTCCAAACTTTCATTTGAAATTTCATTTTTGTTTTATCATTATTTAGTATTGAAAAGGTTTGTTCACATATATAGGTAGAACCAAATAAGCTGTCACATTTCAGAGCGTTTATGCGCAACTCTTTGTACGTATTTTTATCAATGCAGCGGTAAAAGTTCAGCAAGTCTCCTTCGTTGAATTTGTTGCGTAAATCTTGGTCGTTTTGAATGTCGATAATTTCTAACTGCATTGACTGTGGCGCATTTTCAACTGAAATCGTGAAAGGATTGCTGAATATATCCAACAGAGGTTTCACTTTTTTAAACTCCGAAAATCTGTCTTGAAAAGATTGAATCAAAATATCTAGCTTTTCTACATAACTGAAATTAATCGCAGTTTTGTTGAATTTTTCAGCCATTTTGTTATAATTCGGAAAATGATTGTAATTTCCAGAATTCAATTGCGATCTGAAAAGAGTCAGCTTGCATTGAAAGGATGATACATTAGCGTGGAACTGGGATATCAGTTGATTTTTGCCTTGAAGCCGTGTGTTCCAGACATTCAAATGATTTGTAATATCAACTAAAAAAGCCAAATCACGCAACCAATCAGGATTTTTAAGTTCCGGGACATCCCTTTGCTTTTCCGCCAGAAATATTCAAATTTCTTCTATTAAATTTAGAAATCGTTCCAGTGTCAATCCACGAGATAAGTTCAGTAAATCTCCATATTCGCTTTCGATGTCATCAACGAATTGTTTGAATTGCCTGTGATTGAGTCCTCGTGATTTTATGAAATTTACAATCGAAACTACCACTTTCATGACATTTTGAAATTCAATTTTTTTAGAACAGAGGGCTTCTTGATGTATAATGCAGTGAAACTGCATGAGTTTTTTTTTTGTAGATGCTTTTTCAGCAAAGTAACTAGGCCAGAATTGTCACCAATCATCGCACCGTCAGTCGCAACTCCCGATAATTTTGATAAGTCCAAATCAGTTTTTGAACACTCATCCAAAAGTACATTGAGTATATCAACTCCTCTGGCTTGACCTTTCAATGAACACATTCCTAATAACTCTTCTAAGACTTCAAAATCTTGAGTAACACCTCGGATGAATATCAGAAATTGAGCTGTGGAACTAATATCAGTGGACTCGTCGAGTGCTAATGAAAAAAATTCAATGATCTTAGTTTTTTCATTTAATTGTTCCGCAATATTACCTGACAAATACATAATTCGTCTTTGGATAGTCATACGATTGAGTTTAATTTTCTCGAACTTTTTTGCTGCTTCTGGACACATTTTCTTAGCCAATAAGCTCCCGTTTTAAAGACAACATTTTTTGCTTTCTTAATTCGCCTGTAAACTTGGTAAAAGTAGGATGCTGCGTTTCATAGTGCCTTTTTACATTATATTCCTTTGCAATCGCAACAGAATTCTTGCAAATTAAACAAACGACTTTGTTATGCGACCATACAAAAAAGTATTTCTCAGTCCAAATTTCTTGAAACTGCCGATTTTCATCTTTAACCTTACTTTTTTTACTAGGTCCTGGCTGGTCCATGTTGCGTTCTAATCCTGGCTAGGATTAACACAGCACCTAAAAATAATTACAGTACCTACTTAAATTGCCCATCCTTTTTTAAACTACCAAAAATAATTGATTAAATAGGTAGGGAAACACTTATTAATAACAGAGTTTTACATACGATTTCACAATTATACACGGCACTTGACGGGAAATCTACGTTGAATGTGAATCAAAATATATGACACCGGCTAGTCGAGTTATAATCTACACTAGAACTATTGACACTTCACTCAAATTAAAACCGAACTGTCGCTGCGGTTAGCGTAGCTTTTATACCGCGCCTTATAGAGTCGAAAACTGTCTGGAGAAATCACGAAACCGACTCTGGAAGCTTCGTGTATCTACCAACGCGAGCAATCGGGAATTCGGGACTATTCCTATCTCGCTTGCTCTAACAATATAACCCGTGGATAAGCCGCCACCGCGCTGCCGTCGTCGCCGTGTCGCCGGCCACGGCGGTGTCTCAAGAAAACGAATTTAACCGAGATCAGCACGAACATTACCGACCGCTGTTACCGACGCATGCACGGCGCACCGATAAGCGTACTTAAGAGCGCGCGCGCGAGATTCAAATTACCTTCCGAACATATTTTTTTTTTGGTTTTATTCTGGAATATAATTCAATATTTTTCGAATGTGCGAGAGTATTATTTTTGCTGTCGGCGGGCCACCAGTATTCAACCGGCGGGCCGCGGTCTGTGCATCTACGGGCTAGGTCTTGCTATCAATGTTGAGAAGGGAAATATAGTATAACTTGTACGTAAGTTGGTATGTAAACTGTGGCAAACTCAAGACAGAAATATAAGAAAATCTCTAGGTAATTTATTAAACTTTTATTGTAATTTTTATAGAATGTATCTCTCTCTCTCTCTCTTTCTCTCTCTCTCTCACGCACACACTCACACACTCGTCTGTGATAGAATGAAAAGAAAGTGTGTTTAGTGTGTGTGGACAGTCGTTTTTACTTGACGCGTGTTTTTCATTAAACGTGTACACGACTGGTATTGTTATTTGCTGTACTTTTTAAAGTGTAAGAATATAACAATTAAAATTATAAGGTATGGATAAGGAATAAAGACGAAAATAGAATAACAAATCCTTAAACATTTGTCAATATAAAGAAAATACTCAATTGGTTTCAATCGTAATCAGAAAATTGTTTGAATCATACCAATAGTTAAAAAAGACAGTCAATGTCAATACCGGAAGTGTGGGATGCAGTGACTAATTAAAACTTATTAATTACTCCACCACTCGCAGGCAGTAAAGCCCGGCTTTACTACTCGAAGTGAGCGCAGTAATAAAAGAAGTTCGCCTTTAAGCCTTTAAAAACGCTCGACCCGTAGCAATGTTTCGAGCGAATTCGATGGCAGTAAAGCACCGGCGGGTTTATGGCCCAGTGTTTGCTCGATGCAGGCGCGTGACTTTTTAGCTAACTACGTGCTTTGATTAGTTCTTGAAAGTACATAAGCGCCGTGTTAAGCTGTTGCTTACGAGGTCATTCTGGAAATTTACGTTTGTTCCATAACATGCTACACACGTAGGATGCTATTAGAAGAATGTACCTTTTTTAAAAAATAAAACTGAATTACCAAACCTGCAGCCAAACAAATAAAGCTGCAGATGAGTTGTCACCTCTGTGGACTAAGATAGAATATCTCAAGGCTTTTTATATACTGGCTCTTTATACTACCCTTCGATCAACATTGTTGATCGAAGATACTACCCTTCAAAAAGAACTATAGCAGCGCAATCACTGTTATTTGCAGACAGAAATAGTCCAGCGGGCAACCTACTTACCCTTCTCTTAAGTACGTATACTAAGCAATTTTTTTGTACATGAATAGTACCTACCATCTGAGCAACCAATCCACGCGATGGTAAGTGAATGCCGTGACCCTTTAATTCTCAATTATTGACTCTTAATTACGTAGTAGAGCTACGCTGCAGCTATGTTATGTTAAGTTGCTGCACGATTGGATCGGCTCGATCGTGGCGTGACAACGCTCTCACAGAATATCAGCGTAAAATAGCAGCGTAATGCTGCTGTGTTTCGTATGGTGAGTAGATATGAGCGCCGCGCCGGCGCGCCGCCGTCGCCGTAAGTTCATGTTGACGCGTCGTCGCCGTGTAAAGCACTCGGCGCGCCGTCGCGTCGTGACGAGTCGCAACTTGCTTTCTCGCTCGCACGCTCGGCCCGACCGCATTAGTTCCCCTAGTCGACTGGCCACGCTCGTCGCGCAGCGCTCACAGCTCACACATTCCAGTCGAATATTTCACCGAGTGATCGTGTATTGTTGTGTGGTGTTAATAATGGCAGCAACTTCGTCTACTATTGATGTTTATAAAATGAAAATAAAAAATATGTATGTGACTCCAATGAAAAATCTTTCCACCAAACATAAGCATAGTTTTTGCTGGACAGAATTTGGTCAACTAGCGATAGAAGTAAACGGAAAACGAAGGACTGTGCTAGGTGAAAATGTGTTTTGTGGAGTGTGCCTAAGAAAGGCTAAAAATGAAGACGAGGATGCTTTGTTTTCAAAGTAAGTTACTTACCTACATATGTTTAATATTCTTGGTAGACTGGAATTTCATCACTAAAAATAAATAGGTAAATTCATATTGAATGTGAGGTATTAAGCGTTTAGGTAATAATTTTATTTTTTATTTTTCAGGGCCCAAGTGAAAGCTTATGGTAAGAGCATAGCCACAAGTAATCTTCTCAGACATTTAAAAGATGCACATGGCTTAGACGATACACTTAAAACACGAACTTCGACCATAAAAGAGTTTTTCACTCCAAGAATCAGTGGCAGAATCAGAGACGGAAGTGGTAAGAGCGATAAATGGTCGCTGTCCCGAGATTTGGCTCTTTGGTTTGCTAGATCACTGATGCCATTTGATACTGTAGAAAATGATGCAATGATCGACTTTTTAAAAAAATACAGCGTTATTGTTTCCGATGCAGACTTGCCATCGAGACACAATATTGCACGAGAAGGACTGGAAGATGTGTACAACAGTATGCTGGCGTATATAAATGCTTTCATTTCGAAACAAAGCTCGCTTCGGTGCCTTGACTGTCGATATGTGGACCGATAAATACAGACGACGCAATTATATTACTTGTACGTATCATTTTATATCTGAAGACATGACTCTCATCAAATTTACACTGGCTACTAAAGAAGTAACCAAGAAACACACTGGCCAAACAATCCGTGACGAAATTATGGAGGTTTTGCGCAGTTTTAAAATAGACCAAAAAGAGATTTATTTAGTCACGGATGCGGGTAGTAATATGAAGCGAGCTGCAAACTTATTAGCATTTAATAATCACCTCTGCATTGGCCATGGTCTACATAATCTAATCAATGTAAATGGCATTGAAAACACGAGAGAAATATCCAAAATTTTGACGAAATGCAAAAGGCTTGTTAAGCATGTTCGATACAGGGCACCTCGTGTTGAAGCCGCTGCATCTTCAAATCAGCAACAGATGCTTTCTTCTATTGAAGAATTCGCCGAACATCTGGAAAATGCCGACTCAACTGACTCTGAATCCGAAACAACTGAGACACCTGAAAGAGATTCAAGTTCTAGACAGTGTTTACAGCCCCCTCCGACTATTAAAACGAGCACAAGCACAAGATGGCATAGCATTTTGATGATGCTAAAAAGCATTTGTAATGACGCAAATCGACAGCCTATAAACACACTTCTTAACGAAATAGGACGCTGTGATCTCGTATTACATGATACCGAATACGAAACCATTCAGGCTCTGATAAAGTTTCTAGAGAATTTTAAGAAAATTGTTGATGTTCTAAGTTCAGAAACCCAACCTACTATGAATCTGGTTCTAGTATTTCGGTCAGAAGTGAAACGATTGCTTGAAGAATCGAATGATGATGAGCCTCTCGTAATAGCTAGGCTCAAAAATAACATGCTTGAGGGTCTGGAATCCCGATTTCCTATAACCGATGTGGTCGTTGCGGCAACCTTGCTTGATTGTAGATTTCATGCAATTCATGAAATTGATGAGTTCATGCAAAAAAGAGAAGTCACTAAGGTTTCATTCCTATCAACAATGGTTAGAAGTCGCTTGACAACAGAAGATATTCGTCAAAATGAAGTTATTGATTACGCTAAAGCTGGGCCGACTTCTTCTGCTAGTTCTTCAAACTTTTTGCTGGATTTGGCGCGAAAACACAGCTCCACTCAACGTGATTCCGGGAGTGATGTAGAAAATGAATGCTGGAAATATTTCAGTACAGCATGTCCTGAAGATTTAGAGCCTTACGGTGGAAACGTTTTACAGTACTGGAAAGACAGGAAAACTTCTATGCCATCACTGTATGCTCTTGCACGCTCAATTTTGAATATACCAGCCACCAGCACGCCGAGCGAGAGAGTATTTTCCACAGCCGGACTCATAATAACCGCAAAACGTTCCCGACTAAATCCTTTGAGGCTAAATAGGATAGTATTTATCCATGACAATTATGTATTTTGCAAAGAATCCTTAAAGGTATAAACTGTGTTTTTGGACATTGATATGCATATTTCCTTTTTGATGTTTTTGTGCTGTTGTTATTGTTATTTTAATATTTTTTTTTCTGTATTTGATTGAGACTTGAAAGTATCAAGCGCCAACAAAACTCACTCAAATGATTATTTTATCTGTAAATGTATCTGAAAGAACGTGTGAAACTATCTAACTAATTATAAATACATTATACTACTTTAAATGCATAATTACTTATAATTAAAATATGATGGTTTTATGTTTTTACTTTTTTACATTATTATAGAATTTAGATATTTAAATATATATTTTGACAGTGGAATGGATATATATGATAAATATATTTTTTTAGTTTTTTATAATAAATATAGATAATAGTGCTGTGATCGAAAATGCTCAGTTTTACTTCAACTGAAAATACTGAAATGATTATTTTTCAGTAAACGTGATCTCCAATTAATAAGAAGACTGTAAAATTTTAATTAACAAATAAGTTCCTTTATTAAGAAATATAAAGATTTTTTTTAGTAACTACAATATGGTTTTTTTTTAAGAAATCTCTCCCTGATAAAAAAAGGCCCACGGCCATCCACGACGCGCCGCCGCGACGCCGCCGTCGTTGTGGAAATTATCAGACCACGCCGCCGCCGTGGAATTGGCCATCGGCGCTCATATCTAATGGTGAGTGTAGAGAACCGGAGACCATTTTAACTGGAATCGAGGCATTCCATCTTACGCCTCAGGGGTGACAACGCATTTGAATTTTGATGAAAGTGAACATTTGCCCAAAGACGTTCAGATTTTGATAAATGTGAACGTCTATGGGGCACAGCATCCAATTACCATAATGACATTATAAGTAATTTCCTATAAGATCATTGACTTACGATCAGGTGGACACACAGTCCACCTGATCGTAAGTCAATGATCTTATAGGAAACTTACTCGTTGGTCACCCAATGCTATAAAAATGTAAATGCGTGTCGATCTGAGTACAAAATGAAATGCTTTGTTACCAGTAAAAAGTATCTTTTGTGAAATGAATTACTCAGAAACACACGGTATTCTACTAGTGGTAGCTCAAATTATGGACAAATATTATTACAAATATGTAAATTTTTGAACAGTCTATGAATATTAAAATATATTTGCGACATACTTTTGCGCACTTATACAAAAAAAAATATATTAGAAAACGAAAATATGTCATACAATATAATGGACAATATGATTATTACAAATAGAAATATGCTGGCACGAGTGGTGGGTTTAAAACAGTGCGATGAATTTAGCTGCATGTGATACATAAAAATCGTGTAACTCCATACGGCCAACGCGTAATTGTTACTTGGACGCTAAGTCGGCTTTTAAACTGTGCGAAGTCCGCACTAAACACAAACTTTATTAGACGCCATCCGAGACACTCGTAAAGTTCTATTTATGACGTCTTCACCACACAGAGTACTTTGAAAGACTAATTGGGAATGATACAACAGCGTGTGAAGTATACAGAGCGGCAAAAATTACTGCAGGTACAGCAATGGGAAGGTTTTATGGCTATATTTCACAGCGAGCGTCGGATGTAAAACTTACATAGTCTTCAACGAGTGCGCTCATTTACACGTATATCTTCATGTTACTATTGTTTATTTCAGGTTGTGAACAATATTAAGTGTTAATAAAGGTGATTTGGTTTAATTTTTATAGCTGTAAAAATATCGTAAACTTAAAAAACCAAACAGAACAAATAGAGTTGAATTACAAATAAATGCAATTGTTTTTTTTTGCTTTTGGAAGTAAAAGTAAAACTTCGACGAGACGACACAATAAGTACAGACTTTAAGACGTAATGGTATTTACATTTTATGGTATTTATCCGTAAAGGTGAACATAATCAATATTTTTTTTAAACGTTATGGATTGTTTTTAAATTTTAATCATTTAATCGCATAACGTAACTTTCCTAAGCGCCTTACGTGAACATTTAGTACTAGATTTCGAAATCACCACAGAAGTCATGCTACTTATTTTGATAGGTTATGGGTACATATTTATTTACTTAGTAATTTCATTGAGCCACAACAGCTGCAAGGAAGTTAGACGTCCTTATTAAGGTGTTTACCGCGGTATTTCACGCCGGGACAGCTGCTAACTCTATAAAAAGCTCAAGTCCGGTCGTGCATGGAGTATTGCTGCCATATATGGACGGGTGTTGCTACATGTAACCTGGTAACTGTTTTTATCAATTAAAAAGAGCGCTAAGAGAATTATGGGTGACTTAATCCGTTTTTTTATAGAATAAGGGTGACAAGCACATAACCCACCTGATGGTAAGTAGATGCTGCTGCCCATAGACATCTACATCTTTCATCTATTAAGATCAAAATGCAGATGCGTTATCACCCTTGAGGCCTAAAATGAAATGCCTCGTTACTTATAAAAAGGCTCTTCGGTTCTCTACACTCACCATTCAAAACATAGTAGCATTAATCTCATTTATAAGCATAGCAGTATTCTGTGAGAGCGTGGCCCTATACCGGTTGAGCCGAACCATTCGTGCTGCAGCCATACTATAGCTGCAGCATGCCTTTACCTCGAAAAGCCAATCTTACTAGTCTCGAGTGTAGGCGTAAAACAGCCGCCCTCTTGTCGCTCGAAGTTTATGCACAGGAAATGAATAATTTAAAAGGATAGGAAGCACTTATGACATTCTCTACCTTATACAAACACGACACTAGAAACTCAGTCAATCTCTACCCTTTTAATGTCAATTGTCGATATACTACGCATTTAAACTAAACGTTTAAATTAAATACAGTTAAATACAGCAATCATCAACACAGTCATCTTTACATTCTTCAACAAATACACTGCTGAGTCAAGTCAAGTCAAATACAACAATGGAATGGAATAATTTGCCGACGTATGCTTTTCCATCTGATTATAAGTGGTTAGTTTTAATTTCAGGTTTTTGTTTAATTAAATTTAGTCTACTTTACATTATCACGTGGAGTAGTAGCTAAGCAAAGACCTTAAAGTTAAAAAAAAACTAGGAAAAGTCAGTATTTTAAATATTCTAGTAGCTATCATATTATGTTTTAAAATAAGAATTGCTACAAAACATATTAAAGCTATATATTACATATCTTAGCAATTAAAACCCGACAAAGTGAGTAGAATTCACGCCTAAAGTGTTCCGTGTTAACTTAATTATGTTTGTAGACAATTCATCTCATACAGAATGAATGTTTTCGATAGCGAACCACGTAAAGATATTACCCATAACTGCTAGATGACGCCTCATCCCGAGAATTTCGAGAGCATTAGTAATGCTTTAAGTTTTTTTTTGTGAAGTTTAGCATTTTGCTATTATCATTAGTATCATTTATTTAATTAATTTTGAACTTGAACTTATATTAACATGTAATACAGCAACACTGATTAATAAAACTCTTTTAAAATTCCTTATTGAACAAAGTTTGAATTAGCCTAATCAAAGTTCAAAGGCCAGTAAGTGCAATAAACGGACAACAAAGTGATCTCATAAAGCTTCCTTGTTTTTCTTTTTGAGTGATGGATAAGATTTGAATTTTGATAGGTTTTAATTTATTTAATTCAAAATTATTGTTGTTTTTTTTTTGCAAAATATCAGTGCCATAGGCTTCCGCTATGTTTACTTGTGACACCTTATTTTTTCCCGACGGTAAATAAGGTCATCCAGTATATACAAGAATTTCATATTCCGAGCGCAGATTAAAAATTGTTAGCTAATTGCTCTTGTTCTTGTTCATCAGCTAAATATTTAAGATTAACGTAAACTGCACTCTAGTATTAATTTTGTACCAGTATTAGATAATGAATATTTTCTTATTCTTAACTATCAAAGTAGAGAGAAAACATGTGCAAAATTTACAATAGGCGCATCTGCCCGTCAAGAAGACGAGCTGCTCATTTCATACGTACAGTTAACGCTTCTGCGACCATTACTATACATTTTCCATAAACTAGTGCCTCGTAAAACTGCACATATGTTTACCGGAGCGAGGTGCAGCACCTTAAAAGCATTGGTAATATAACAAAACGTCTGAACCGAAATTGCCCATAAAAGTCCGACGGCGTTTTCCAACTAAAGCCATGAAACTGAAACGCTGGAGGAATTTACAATGGCCGCCCCCGTCTACATTTAACGTTCGTGACGCTCACCTTAGTTTAATTAAAGTGCCTGGACTCGAAACTCGAAATGATTTCGCCAAATTGTGTCCGCGCTTAAAACGTTATAGCGCAGAAATACAAGTGGCCCCAAGCGACTCCCTGATAAAGTCCCTGGACGTTACTCAGTATTGTAACAAATAATACTTAGAAACAAACAAAGAGGTTATTCAGAAATTTTAAAATTATAGTAGTAGAAATCTATTGAGATGAAGTTGTCTGTTTAATATAATAAAAGTAAGTTCACTCAAAGTAAGTAAAAAAATCGCTGATATAACTTTATATTTATAAGAATTTAAAAACAAAAATAGAAAATTTCATTCTAATCAGTAGAGCCGTTACCGAGAAACCAATGCTACAATCTACGAGCATGTGCAAATCTATCGTATTCAGATATTAACAATACGTGTCCCTGGCAAATATTAGATCTATTTGATATTTCATAGAATTGAGAACCTTAATATATCATGAATAACTGATATTGAGTCGTAAAGATGTTTATTACAGTCTAGAATTTCGCCTAGGTAGGTAGACAGCAACTAGAAGCATAATAAAAATAGCGAAGCAAAATACACTCAGAACACCATATCAAGAATAACAATAGCAAAACAATAATTAAAGAACAAAACAAAGTATTACACACTCCAAGTCTATATTTCAAAAAAGATTTATTGAAATATAGACTTGGAGTATGTCAATAGATGGGTGCCAAACGTGGATATATTTTTTTATGAAATGGGATGACAAACGAGTACACAGTCCACCTGATGGTAAGTGGTTGCTTTGGCACATATATCTATATCTATACCCTCGATTGCGAACCAAAATGCAGATGCGTTGTCACACCTGAGGACAAAGATGGAATGCCTCGTTTCCAGTAAAATGGGTCTCCGATTCTCTACACTCACCATTCGAAACACAGCAGCGATAAGCTACTATTTTACTCTGGTATTCCGTGAGAGCATGGTCCTTCGCGGATCGAGCCGACCCATTCATGCTACAACTATACTAAGTACTATAATTGCAACGTGGCTTTACCACGTGTAAAATTGAATTTGAAATTTATTACTTAATACAGAAAGATAGTAATAAAATATGAAAACAAATATGATGACATTCGAAATGTGGTTTAAGAGAAGAATGCAGAACATGGATAGAAAGAAAAAAACATGTGTGAGGATAATTTTATGGTTTATCTAAACAAAATGTAAATAAATTCATAATGAACACTGTATAATGTATTCTATCTCATTCTCTCGCAGGCTGAATCCTATAAATGTATATGCTTGTCTCTTTTTGGTGTCGCTTTTTCGTTTCATCGATTTTCAAATCGTTTTTATTTAAAGAAGATTTTAATTCAAAAAACTAATTAAGATATTCTGGAACAGTAAGAGAAAAAGTCAATAATACCACTTATTGGAAACAGAAGGGTTCACCCTCCTCATTATCTCTGTCCTCCTGGTTAAAGTAATCGCTGAGACACGACAATTTATTTAGAATATAATCGTAGTAAAGAATTAAGGGAAAGAGAACAGAATGCTGGTGTTGTATTTATACGTGGTAGAGCCACGCTGCAGCTATTATGGTTGTGCAGCATGAATGGGTCGGCTCGACCGGGGAAGGACCACGCTCTCACAGAATACCAGCGTAAAATAGCACCTTAATGCTACTGTGTTTCGTATACTGAGTGTAGAGAATCGGAGCTCCGTTTTACAGGGAACGAGGCATTCCATCTTAGTCCTCAGGGGTGACAACGCATCTGCATTTTGTTTCTTAATTATAGAATAAGATCTGAAATTATATTTTTTTATATAAAGTAAGGATGACCAACGTGCACGTAGTCCACTTTGTGCTAAGTGGATGCTGTGGCCTATAAACATCTATATCTATCCTCGATTAAAAGACAAAATGCAGATTCGTGGTCACCCCTGAGGACTAAGATGTAATGACTTGTGTCCAAAAAAAAAAGGTCTCTTTTATTACATTTAGCAAATAAAACATAGCAGCATTAAGGTACTATAATAGAGTGCTATAATTATATTGATATAGCTGCAGCATAGCACTACCAGGTATAAAATAACAAAGTAATATAAAATAAGTTACACTGTCCGAACGCAAAAACATGTAAATATTTTATTTCTACACTTACTTTACTAAACACAGCAGCATATGCTCAAAAAAAGCTCGAAAAACTTAAACTAAAATTAGATCAAGTTATGCAATAAAGGGTTTTGAATTTTGCGCAGGTATTCTATGAGAGCGTGGTCCTTCCCCGATCGAGCCAACCCATTCGCGGTACAATCATAATTTAGCTGCAGCATGTCTCTACCACGTACAGAAATTATAAATTATTTGATCGGCTCGAAAATGCGTTGCAGCCTTACGATAATAAAAGAGCTGCAGTTCCAAGGGAATCTATACCGTAAATCCGCAGTAGCTGGTGCTGTTACGAGTTCGATGTAAAAATCTTATAACCGAATGCGTCTCGCTTTTATAGCCCGGAACATATTTACGAGAATCCGCTTGCAGGAATTGCGCGTAAACTTGCGACAAAACCGTATTTCACTACTTTCAAATACTCTTCTTAATATTTATGAAAATATTTTAATATTTTCGATTTATCGCAAATTATACGACTACGCTTGACGTTGTTATGCCCTTTCCGGTAGATGGCGCTCCGAATTCATTCCGGAGATTTTACTTTGATTTTACTTTAACTTGATCATTCTATCATCATCTCTAGATTTTGTGATTTTGTTATTTGACACTAACCCAATTTGAATATGAGTCATTTTGGCTTACAAATTTCGATCAACAATACCAAATTGTTGATCGAAGCTTACAAATATGGAACTTGTTAATTAATTGACTATAGAGTCACATATCGTATCTGCAAAGGTATAAACTATATAATACTAATATAAACTATCAAACAATTTATGTACTTGTGGTGTGTGAATACTGAATATGACCTCAATTGGTCAAGTGGTTCAAGAGCTACACGATACACTAATAGACGCGCCAGCAGTTATATAATATAAATTTTTTATAGACAAGGGTGATAAAGAGCATACAATCCTCCCAATTTTAAGTAGATGTACAGCATCGCAAGATTGCGATAAGATGAAAGGAGTAAGAATACCTAAAAAAAGAGATTTACTCCCCCCGATATGGGAAATGGTTTAGAGAATGATGATGTACAGCATCGCATATACATCTACATTTTTATCCTCTACTAACTAAGATGGAATGCTTCGTTTCCTGTAAAAAGGGTCTTCGGTTCTCTACACTCACCATACGAAACACAGCAGCATAGCTGTTACTTTATGCTGGTATTCTGTGTTCCGAGCCGACCCATTTGTGGTACTACCATAATATATAGCAGTAGTGTGGCTCTATGTTACGAGTACGTCGAACAAGTGGCCTACTGCATAAACACAAATTGTTTGTTTTTGGGTTTAGTTGAGGTAATTAACGTCTTGGTTGCATTCTGCAGGCTGCCGCCGTGGCATTGTAGGTCGGCCGATTGGGATAGGATGCGGTCTTTTTTTGCATCCTACCCGGGCGGGTTTGCTTCTCGCCGGACGATCCCAACGTTGTTGATGATTCTGATACTGATGTCCTCTGTGCCCATCGGAGGAAGATGAACCCCTTTGTCGTATCTCCTCAGTTTCAAGACACTCCCCTTGCTGCCTTAGCTAACATCAGAATCCTTGGCGTCGACATATCGTTTCGTGGTCACTTGGAGGGTAAGGCCAAATTGGGCTCTAAAAAGCTTGGTGTGCTCAGCGTTTGCAACTTTACAAAGCGCAAGTTCGGCCTCACATGGAATACTGTTCTCATTTCTGAGGCGGTCGGGGCACAACTGTGCCAGCTTCTTCCACTTGACCGCATCCAGCGCAGAGCGACTCGAATTGTAGACGACCGAGTTCTTTCTGATCGGCTCGATTCACTGGTGCTGCGAAGGGATGTTGCATCTCTTTGCGTTTTCTATCGCATCTACCGCGGAGAGTGTTCCGTGGAATTGTTCGGATTAGTTCCAGCCGCCAAATTTCAGGAACTCACATCGCGTCAAAATTCACGATACCATCCTCACCATCTGGACGCTTGGCGATTCACCACCGTGCGTTTTACTAGGAGTTTTCTTCCTTGTACAACTTCTCTGTGGAATCGTTTACCACAGGCGATTTTTCCGGATCGATACAACTTAGGGACCTTCAAGAAAAGAGCTTCGTCCTTTCGAAAAGGCCGGCAACGCACCTGCAATTCCCCTGGTGTTGCGGTTGTTCATGGGCGGTGGTAGTCACTTACCATCAGGTCAGCCGTTAACTCCCTGTTCTATTAAAAAAAAGGGCATGAGCGATATATTGAGTGGGAGTAGGGAAAGATAACTGACGTCAGTATTTAGTAATTGACAGTATTGGTCAGAAAACATAAATTAAGAAGCATTTATGATTATTAGATTTTTTTGTATTGATTTTACTATCGCCGTCGCAGCGCATCGCATTAAATTTTAGTCACAGAGATCTAGACCCTCTAGATGGGCTAATAATTTTTCGCTTACCAGATATTGCTAGTTGACATTTAGGTGAAGTTTATTGTTACACAATGTCATAAAGTTGAAAAGTTAGTATTTAATAAAAGTTTATCAGTTTATAGATTATTATATCAATACACACAACAATGTCTCAGCGGTCTGCCCTTTAATTTTCTGCAGATTTTTAACTCTTTTTTAATTTAATTACTTTAATTTAATAATATAAATTATAACTAATAGTACAGAAAGAAACATTATCATAACCTTTACATTTTCCGAACAAATTCTAATATTTTAGTGATGCCACTCTGGTAGCAGAAAAATTCGTGG